ATTACACATTTTAGAAATTAAATGAGAATTTCACTGGAACTTCCAATATTTGCTTGATTTCTGTCGCATAAATGACATTGATTGGCAAACAAAACCAGAAAACCCAGCCTTCTCGCGCTGGTTAGTTTGGTAACAGTTATAACCGAATTTTTCAGGAACCGTGTTCCGTAATAAGAAAACTTTCAGGAAACCGATAGAAACGGAACATAAAACCATAACCAAGGTAAGCAACGGAATACACCCTAAATTGGAGGATTTGAAAGGACGTGTTTGAAAAAGTGACATATTGACAGTGACAGTTTTAATATAAATTTTATTTTCAATTTATTTCTATCATCAATCAGTACATTTTCTGTTTCTTCAATAGCTTGCAAATTTTGTGGAATACCATCCAACATACACACTTTTATGCAAATGCCTAATGTTAACGCATAAATTTATTTAAGAAGAGAAAAAAAATTTGAACCTAACCAACAATTCGTATTTATAGTGGTTTACAGTAATTTTGTTAAATCATACGAATATTCTCGTTGATTATTGGTTTGAAATAAATATGACGATGTCCTACAATGAAAATGTGAGTTGCTTAACTCTAATAATTCTAATTCTGAGCTAGCAAACGAGCTAGATGCTTTACCTAGACCGTTATTCAGAAGCTACAAACCTGGTGATAAAAATGTGCGTGAAAATTTACTTCCTAGCACACAACCAGAGGATTATGGTACCCAGGTACAGTATCAAGTTTATTATAATGCTTTTCTTAGCTTTAAATCAAATGTTTTTGGTGTTTGCTCGATCCTTATCACTTTTTAATCTCGCTAGCTTGCCCGTCAAGACATTGAGAGAGCAGTTCGATATTTATTGGGACTGAACAGTAGAACTCACTGCCAGAATTTCTTTAAAAATTTCAAAATACTGACTCTTCCTTCTTTATTCATTTTTGAATCCGTTTGCTTAATCCGCAAGCACATATCTGCTATTCCCGACAGGCCGTCTCACAACTATCCACTAAGGAATGCCGAAACACGATCTTTATCTGCCAACCCCGAGTTCAGAACTAGTTAAAGGCTCAATACTGTACAATGCCAAAAAAATGTACAATCATCTGCCTTTGTATATCAAGTCACTTTCATTCTTTCCCGCATTTCGCAAAGCTCTGAAATCATACTTACTTGTGAGAGCCCTATATGCGGTAAACGACTTTTTTCTGATGTTTAATCATGAACAATTTTGAATTTTAAAATTTTATATAACGTTATTTATAACTCTTAAAATTATATCCATTTACAATTTTCTTATTGTAAAATTTTATTGATACGCCTTTTTTGTGTTCTGCAATTGTCCATATATGTTCTATTTGTAATTTTAATGAATTAATTTTTTTGAATTGTATGATTTGTATTGTATGTTGTTTGTACTTGTAAATGCTTTGCCGATGAAGCTATTTTGGCTTTTTGCACAATAAAGCGTTATTTATTATTATTATTGCCAAGGTCGTGGCGTGACAAGGCATTGAATTTTTACTCCCATTGAGCGTAAAGAAGTTTAACTTCAATAAATTTTCCCATTTCCCAGTCTGGCGAGTCAAAGTTTTTTTCAATCATCATTTGAATCAAGCACTTCAAGAGTTCAGATGCAGGTACAAAGAAAACAGGTGATACACTAGACATAATCAAGCAAAACATGAAGTTAGAAAAGTATTTCATTAATTCCACTCATATGTAGGCTAGCCCCCAGACTATTAGGTCTTGTATCATCCAATTTTAATTAAAAACAAATTTTTGAAGCAGTCTGAGTGCGCACACTTTAGAAAATACCGAAACCACATCTTTGGAAGCCGCCCTGCCTACTCTTGGCGCTTTCCAGCGGCGGCTTTTCGTCTGAATAATAATTTAATTCGAAATGGGGATGCCATGGAAGCGGTTTCTTTTTTGGTGTGCTCTCATAATTTACGAGCTTTAATACTTGGAGGGGAAGAGCTAACCGCGCCGAATTTGTATCGAGGATATGGAATATAATTTGTGCTTTTAGCAAGTATTAAAATTACTTACGCCACCATCACATATCTCTATAAATTTGGTTAAAATCACTCGGTTTTTCCAAGCTCTTCCTATTTTTATTAAAATCGAACCATTTGAAATGTGGACATATGGACAGAAGCATGATTAAAATTTCTTGGATCACTAGAACCAGAAGTTCTTCGAAAAATGGAGCATGAAAGACTACTCCAAAATATTATCAAGCTAGAGATTGAATAATTCCTTCCTAGAAAAAACTGTCATTGATTATAAACATATCCGATCCATTACAATGTATAGTATATACAAAGTGTCAAAAAATAGTGTATCTAGCTTCGGAGATTGATTCTGCAGATATAAATAAAACAAAAAGTTCCTATGAGCATATGCCCTAAAATGCTTCCCGAAGAAGTTACAATCCTGGAAAGGTTAAATAAAAATAATATATTTTATTTATTTTTAAGAACATAGGTAAACCGTTTTTCTTTAAATTTGGTATTCTTACACACATTTTAATGCTAAAACGAATGGCGATTGTGAAAAATTCCGTAACAGCCCTGAAAGGGTACTTTCCATTAGGGTAGAGATTACTACTCTCAAGTAGCACAATAAATTATTAGGAGAGTGAAGTGTTTTATATACGATTTATTAAACCGATATCATACACTGAATTGTTATATAATAAACACAAAAAACATAAATTTATCATAGAGACAAATGTGTTTTATTATTTTGTTATATAGATGTTTTTTCGCGACTAATTTATAAAACACTTTTATAAATATATTCGTTAATATGCTCAGGAACGTTTATATAACAAATCTTATACAACTATTTATGCTTGAGCAAGAAATATTTTATAATTGATTTATAATATAATTTAAAACAATTATAAAATATTTACAAAACAGCTATAAAAATATGCATTTTAGTTTATTAAAACATTATCGACATGTTTTATAGCTGTTTTTACGACTGATTTATAAAACAATTTGGTCGCGACCGTTACTCTAAGAAAACAACTTTATAATTGCTGTTAAAGAAACGAATTAAAATTCTTATAAAGCGATTAAAAAACAAAAGTGTTTCCCCAAATACAAAAATGTTATTTAGGAAACCTTATAAACATACTATAGCACTAACCTCAAACTTTGGTTTTGGTCAGAGTTTAAAATGTATTTTAAAATTGTGATTTTATCTCTAAAACTTAAAATGTCAAGTATTTCTAACTGGAAGATTTTATTTTTGATATTAAACATATGTGCCTAAGTGTAGCTAACAAAAAATAAATAACATAAGCAAAATGAATAAAAAATAATCAGGTTTTGAAATAGCGGGATAACACGTGAAGTGCAACAATATTGGTATATTAAAACCTAAGATTAAAACCCGGTTCGACTACATAGTAGAAGGATAGTAGTGAGGCCCATTTCTACGTTATTATTCTGTGGCGTTCGTATCTAAAAGGTGAAGGAAAGAAAGCCAATGTTGCCAGAATAAAAATAAAGTCTGCAAGTATAATTAAAAGTCAAATTTGTGTTTGGTTTGGTAATTATGTTTTTTTTTCTAATTATTTGCCGTAGAAAAATCGATGAAGATTTTAATTTTTTAAAATGTCTTATATTTTAAGTATTGATGAACCTACTAGCGAATTTAAAAACACACGTCTATAATTTTATTGTTGTAAATGTGACAGCACCGGAATATATAGACGAATTTAATTGTATTTTGCCGACATTATTTAAAGTAATAAAACAAATATGTTCTGTATAGCATCATTGTAAAACAAGTTAATTGTATAACTGCTCACAGAGCAACAAAAATGTTTTGTTAGTCGACGCGACGCCATGATTTTATGTTGAATTTGGACGACTGTATGTCGGCCATTTTATCGAGTCGGGATTTGCAAAACAAAATGATCGAAATTTAATTCAAAATAAACGTATTTATAAGAAACGAATTAGTTTCCAATAATATCGGATATTGGACAATGTCGATTTTCCAGTTTACAGGTAATTTTGTAGTAATTTCCTAAAAATTAAATATTTATTATAACTGCAAAATCTTATTGAAATGAAAGCGCCTTAAAATATTTCCACAAATATGGATATATAATATCGGTAAAATTTGCTCCGCAGGAAAATTTGACTCCTGGAGCTTTTTAGGCGATATAATTTTTATACAATTTACATATTTCTTTAAATTAGCCATATCTGTCATTTAAATAGAATATATGTGTACTTTGCCATTCAAAATCAGTTTTATCTTGGTCACTATAAATTCACGATATTATAATTTTATCTTTGACAAATAAAAAACCAAAATGCAGATGCATGCTACAAAAATATTTTAACTTAGACAAATATGTTATTTTTAAAATATTTATAAATCTTTTATGAAACAGTTTTACTACGTACAAATATTTTGTAATGTACTCAATATTATTTTGTAAGCGTTATCGGAGAGTTTTTAATGTACTTCTAAATAAGTACATATATTGTTTTATAAACCTGCGCCTTTTTCGTGTTTATAACTATCGTATTCCGGTTTATAAAGCACTTAAAAAATAGTACATATTTGAAGGCTACACGGGAAAAACGGACTAAGTCCAAAAAAATGGAAATTGAGATAACACTGCCATCTTATGCTCATCAAGTGTCCGTTCCAAAATAGGAATAATGTAACACTGAAATAATGATCTAAATCCACTAAAATTAGCGATTAAAATATTAATACTTTGGAAAAGCGATCTAAGGCCACGTGAATTCACGGAAGACCGATCCAAGATGGATCCAAATCCATATTTCATGTTTGTAAACATATCAACGCATACAAAACGAATAAAAATAGCTATATATTTAGCACCACAACAACTTTATGCTGACCTAATTCCTTTGCCCAAACCCAGTATGAGCAGTTACAATTTTTGAAAAAGGTCGTAGATGAATCTCTGCAAGACTACTACACAAATTTGCCTTATGCATCAAATAATGCTCATCTAAACGATGCAGATATGGTGTGTAATATCAATTAAACTATATTGCTTTTATTTCTGCCTAAGAAAAGAAGTCTAATTATGTCTATTGTGTCACTAGTTTTAAATTTAAAGAAATAAAATTCTGGAAATGGTTCTAGTGGAACCATAAGGAAACTGTCTAGTAGTGTAGTTTCATTCTATCAGAAACAAATCGCTATTCCTAAGTAAAAAATAATCTAATGCTAATAAAATTAATTAAAAAATAATAATAAAAATAAGAAATAAATAAAAAATATTAAAAAAATATAATAACAATATTAATAATACAAATGAGAATAAAAACAGATTTTTCTCTTTATTCCAGCACGAGTAATCCTCGGAGTAACCACATACAGAATTATTCCATATGGACTTGGATCACTTTTCCATTGAACCAAGCGAATACGAGTTTTATTTTATCTAACAAACTTGCTACAAATTATTTTTCTTTGTTTTGTCTGTTAATCAGTTAATGTCTATACATATAACTATTGATAAAAACTTCTTACGATTGGCTACATTTTATTATTCCTTTTCCTTTAGTCTTTAAAGTTTCAAAATCATTTATCTCAAAAGTAAGAAAATGTGACTTTTTCGTTTTTCCCCTGTAGTCTTCATTTATCATATATATGAATTGTTATATAACACTCTATATAACCATTTTAAGCACATTTGTACCACTTGGGCTGGTGGTACTTCTTTTATCCTTATAGATGCAGTAATTTCAATAAATGAAATTTAAAGCTGGGAGTTTTTATGTAAAAAAGTTCAACAAGTAAGACAAGACAACAAGACGTGTTAATAATCACAATCCCGGATCCCGGAGACAAAAACTTCTAAAGAACGAGTATTTACAATAACTGATGAAATAATTAAAAATATAAGTGGCCCTACAGCTTATTCGAAAATACCTAAATTTACGACCTTTCAATGTACGTCATGAAACGTTTTTTTATAAATTATCGCCAAGGAAAGTGTTCTACACAAGTTGTTGGTGCTCATACCTTTGGAAAAATCCCATCACTAATTGTACAGTATCTACAATTACCAAATACGAATGAGTATACGGGTCATTCTTTTAGAAGAAGTCCAGCCTCTCTCTGGGTTGGAACAGGGGCTAATATTTTAATATTATAAAGCCACGGAGGTTGGAAGTCTAACTCTGTAGCAGAAGGCTACATTGAAGATTCCATTTCAAGAAAGAAGGAAATTTCAAATAGAATTATTCTTGCAGGAGGAGAAGGTACTTCCGGTATAAGTTTTTCTGATCAAAATAATTCCAAAGAAATTGAATTAAATGGAACTTCAGTCAACAGCTTTCCAACAAGAACCATTGTTACTGAAAATCAAGAAAATGTTTGTTAACAATGTCATGTCTAAAAGTAGTATTACTTTTTCAAAATGAAATAAATGTACATTTAACATAACGATTCTTAGCAAATAATGCCCTAACTTATTAACTTCTTTATAACCCTTATAATAATATATAACAACTTCTTTTTATAATACTGTAAGTAATTCTGTACACATCTTTGTTACTTAATAATACACTTTTCATTTGGTTAATAACAATTTGAATCTTATCTTCCAGTTTCGTCTTTCAAAATTGTAAACAAAAATGTTATATATAAATTCGGGTCAGAACCTCCTACGACGTTGTCCGATGCCTAACTTCCACCCTGTGCGATTTTCCCATTGATCTTCGGTCAGATTTTTCTCGCTCATCGACCTTCTTATTCCTTCCATCCATGTTTTCTTGGGACGTCCCTATTCCCATATGTTGTCTAATGTCTTCATTTCTGATCTTATCCCTCCGTGAAATTCTCATTGCTCTTCTAATCGCGTCCATTTCTATTGTCTCTAATTTCATTTTATTCCTTTCAGTGAGTCGCCATGTTTCACATCCATAGAGTAATATGCTTTTAACTAGTGTCTCATATATATTATATTTCCTGTTTTTTGTAATTTCAGTGCTCCATAGAATGCCATTTATGCATCTGATAACTCTTCTTGCCTGTATTACTCTGTTGTTTATTTCTCTATCGTCCGTTCCATCTCCTGTAAATATCGATCCCAGGTACCTGTAATCTTCACATGCCCTAAGTTCCATATTATTGTCTAAAATAAGATTTTCTGTATTAGCTCCAATTGGAAGGTATTTTGTTTTTTCTGTATTTACTGTGAGACCCCATTAAGCATATTCTTCAATTATTTTCCGCACCATATATTCCATGTCATCTTTGTCGTTTGCAATTATGGCCTGGTCGTCTGCAAATTGCAAGGTGTATATGCATATGACATTTAGTTCTATAGCCATTCCGTTACATAGATGTAAGGCCTTGGCAATATAAATTTTAAATAGTGTTGAGGATATACAACAACCCTATCGGAGCCCTTTAGTGATAGAAATTTCCTCTGAGAGACCGTTGACCGTTTTTATTTGTGATTTTCCTCCATGGTAAAGATTTTGTACAGCTTTTATCAGAGCTGCGTTAATTCTTGATTCGTGCAATACGTCCCATAATTTTATTATTGGCACTGTATCATATGCTTTTTGTAGATCGATAAATGTTATATGAACTTCCTGGTTCATTGCAGATTTCTTCTCGATGATCTGTTTCAATGCAAAGATATTATCAGTACATGATCTTCCGCTTCTGAAACCATTCTGCTCTTCTTCTTCGTAGCTGGAGTATTCCTCTTCAATTAAGTTCCTCAGTATCCTTCCATAGAGGCGACTCATAGTGCTGGTGACCGAAGTTCCCCTGTAGTATTGGGATACTTCCTTGAGCCCTTTTTATATATAGAGGGGATATATGCTTTTTTTCCACTGTTCAGGTACTGGATGACCATTTAAGCACTGGTTAACTGTGTTTGTTAACATTCTAAACAGGTTTTTGCTTCCAGATTTTATGAGTTCCGCATATACTCCCTCTGGGCCACATGCTCTTCCATTCTTTAAAGACATTATAGCGGTCTTTATTTTGTTGGTATCCACGTAGATTTCCTCTCCTTCAATGTTTATTTCTGGCTGTGGCGGTTCTTGATACTCAGGTCTGTTCTCTGACAACAATTTGGAATAATATTTCACCCATTCTTTGTTGGTTATTATTTCTATAGGGGCTGACTCCTGTTTTTCAGTTGTTGTTTTTATAAATCTCCATACTTCCGTATTCCTTCTTCCGCCTATATACGTATTAATTTCTTTGCATTTGTCATCCCACACTTTATTCTTTTCTTCTTTTACCATTCTCCTCACCTCATTTTTCTTGTCATTATAAGTGCGCTTGTCTAGCTCAGATTTCGAATTTAGCCATTTCAAATACAGTATCTTTTTTTCCTCTACAAGTTTTTCAAGTTTATCAGTCCACCACAACTTTCTGCTCTTTTGTCTCGCTTTTATTCCTAAGTGTGCGAACACAGTGCAAGCAGGTTTGCCGCTTTCTGGTAGCCAGCGCCAATCTGGGTACCTATTCTTGACATCGTTCGCAATTTTGCGTATACGCATCACGTGTATTGTTATAAACAGGGCATCCCAGAAATAAGTGCAAGTATTTTAAAGGGTGGTAGATCTCGATAAAAGAAACATATTTTCTCTTTATCGTTTTTCAAATAAGTCCAAAATAACGGAGTTATTTTACTTTGAAAATTTCCAAAAAATGATTTTTGCTAAAATTTTGAGAACCTTCTTCATGTGCCTTCTCCTCATCGGAGGTTGGCGACCATCAATTGGAATTCCTCCCTGTCTTGAGCCAAACGGATAATTGCACTTGCCTCTCAATATTAAACCACTGGCGCAAATTCCGCAAGCAGGGAAAACCGTTTACGCCCGATGCCTCGTCGTCCTTCAATCTTTCCCTCAACGATCAGCTGTAGGAAACTATATTTGTTATTTCGAAAAATATGACCAAAATATGCTGCTTTCCGTCGTTTTATTTTAGTCAATAGTTCTTGGTCCTTACATATTCTTTCCAATACTTCGAGATTTGTTTGAGAACCACTGGAGCTTTTCTGGATTTTCTTTCTTAATAGATAGAAGATAAATTTAATCTACTACCTATGTTGCCATATTATCAAGAAATTATTTTTTTAAATAAAAACTAAAAAAAATTGCAAAAAAATTCCAAAAATATTTTCAAGAAATTCCGAATTTTCAAAAAAAAAATTATTTAGAAAAAACCTCATAGGCGTGTTTCTGGGGCTGAACTATACTACCAGTTAAGTTAAAATACTTGCACGTATTTCTGGGACACCCTGTATATGGGTACATAGTAGCGCCGCGCCGCCTCGCGCTTATAACCTTGAAAAAATAAAGCGTGTTATCAAATCGGCTAGTTCACAGTGAAAGTAGGTAGGAGCCGTCAACCAGCGTTCATCGGCGTTCTCGCTTTTACCGGAACGAAAATTTATTTATTTCTGCTTTTGCAGGCGCCGACGGCGCACAGAGGGTATTAAGAACTAAAAGTTGGCCAAAATTAAGTTGTATAATTTTTTTGCTTTTTTGCTAGTAATATTAATTATTAGAGGAGAGGGTGCTAATATGGAACCTCATTTTGTTTTTCCTACACAATATTTTTTCCTCTACTCTGAAACCCTTTCCACCGATCAAATAGGGCCATTCTGTGCAAAACCAAGCAATTGGATGAGGATGCTAGAACAAGAAAGTAATTTGTATATTATCGACGATATTTGAGCGAGGATGGGTGTTATAGGGTAAAGACTATTTTCTTTAAGAATCTATTTAAATCAATGTTTTTTTGGCAGTGGCAAATATTGGCAAGATTTTTGTACATATTCCAAAGCTGGAGACTTTAAGCATTGAACGGATACTAATTTCAATGCGGAATATTGCCGAATAGTCTTACACCTTATAAAAATGCCTCTGATTTTTTAAATATAAAACATTATAAAGAAATAGAATAGAAGGAAACGTTTCAAAAAAAAATATGGCATAAAACAGGACTTGCCAGCTGGCTCTGTATCCATCATGACAGTTATTATAAACAATTTGCAAAAAAAGCACTACAAACAATTCCACTATTTTATAATCTTAGAAATATTCAGAATACACTCAAGATAATTCATACTTATAATTGAAATATATTATTTATTTGATAGTCAACTTACGACTTAAAAAAAGCTAATAAACGTGCTTACATTTAGTATTTATAGATTTGTATTCAGTTAAGATAAAAAATGAAAATAAAAAAAATATCACTTTTGGCCAGGTTTATAGACCAAATACCCCTATGTGCGGCCCCGGCGCGGCGGGCGCGGCGTTTCAATATGGTTAGGTTAGGTTAGGTTAGTTAATCAGGTAAATTTCCTCTTAATTAACTACTTCCGAACCCTGCTCGCATCTCCGAAAAAGCCATACACGTGATGCATATACGCAAAGTTACGCATCACGTGTATTATTATATGGCTTTTTCGGAGATGCGAGATGTGAGCGATATTTGAAGATGCGAGTGGTCAAGAATAGGTCCCCAGAGACGGCGCTGGCTGCCGGAAAGCAGAAACCTGCCTCCACTATGTTCGTACCCTAATGCTTCCTCTGCGGCTCCATGAATACTGTCAATTATATTATTGAATGTTAGGTGAAAAGGCCTTTCCGAACCTTCTATAAGTTTTTCATCAAGCCTGTTCTGATAAAGATATTTGACGCTGTCATGCATTAGACTTTCTAAATTATATCTTACTGTGGTAACTGGCTTCGTTCTTCCTGTTTCCTCGTGATTGTTTTGTTAAAAAAAAAGTTACCTACTTCAAAAGACACTCGCTTAAAAAAATTTGTGTGCCTCGGCCGTATGATCTATTTTGGCCGAATCTGAAATTTGGGGCCAAGCAAATTTCAGGTGAAACCAACCAACTTTACGGCCTTGGTACACAAATAACTATTTTTGACGCCTCGTATAATGTCTGAATAGGCATGTTCTAAAAAATTTAAATTCGCAAATAAATCATTGTATTGCATAGATTAAGTCTTCATGACATACAGTACATAGGAAATTAGGAAAAATTCTATGATATCTTTTTAGAAATTAAGTTATAATTTCAAACTTGAACATTCCCGGTTGAGTTGTGACGTACATAGCCTTCACCAATCACTTCTCAGATCGTAGAAAGGGAAGTTTCATATCATAATATGTTGGCATGACTGATTGCCTGGCTCATGCGTATCGGGCGCAGCCATTTTGGATTTCGTTATTGTTTTTCTTCGTGCTTTTCAGTTGAGCGGTAAATTTTCTTGGTTCTAACTTTTAATTTTATCTAAATTGCCCAAAACTATGAAAAAGCTTTTTTGGATAATTTTCGAATGGTGACGGTGTAGGTATACGGTGGACAGTTTTTATATATAGACAATTTAAAATACTTAAGTGCTGAAATAAAGAAGTTAAAATATCAAGGTGAGATTTTTTCTTGGAGAAGTTGTTTAAAAATAATAAATTCATTATTTATAGAGCATAGAGTGAATCATAATGATAACAGTTCGATTGGATACGTTCAATAAAAAGAGGGCTTCTGAACAATCAAACAAAAAGTACACCTGAACATTATGTGACTGCAATGATAAGAGTGTACAGCTGGTTCCAATAAAATTGAATACGATTTAAAACATATTTTTATTTCGGGCAGTATATTCTATGATACCAGTTCCCAATTTCTCTATTAATGTCATGCTGACGTTGTGAAAATTTTACTTGCCACTTTGTCAAAAGCAAAGTTGTTTTATACAATGTTACATTAACCTTAACATGTCAAAATACTTGGCAAATAAATATACACTGCCCAAATATTCGAAAAAAATGTGTAAAGAGTCGTATTCATTTTTTTTTTGGAACCAGCTGTACATGGTGGGTCAAATTCGACGCTTTTAAATGGAAACACCCTTTTCTACAGGAGATAGACAAAAACTAGTATGGTGTCTGGAGCTCAATTTTTGTCAAAAACATGATGGTGAAAACCGCATATCGATATCTGTTACCGTTTCGGTGTTACGGGGTGTTTTTCAAAAATAGGCATTTTTAACAAATCGCTGTAACTTTTTTGCTATGGAAAATTTTGTATTTTTATGAAAACATTTCCAAAGCACCTTTTTACATAGAATTTAATGGTTTAAGTATATTTTTTTAAAATTAATAATTTAAGAATTATCAACGGAAAATTTGATTTTTTATATGGGACACCTTGTATATTTTTAATTTATTGAAAAGAATTTAAAATTACCTTTCCAAAAATATAACACACTTGATATTTTGCGCGATTCCTCTTCAAGATAAGTACACTTTAAATAAGTACACTTTGTACGGCACCGGCTGTTATGCAAAAAAATTCTAGCTGTGAGCGTCAATTAAAACGAAAATAATATTTGCATATAAGAGATGCAGAATTTTATAACAATTTAAAATATATTTAACCAACATCAACACATTTAAACTATATCTAATAACAATAAAAATAAATAGCAAACGAAGCCATGAGATTTTGCTACAGGTGTTCGACATATCGACCGTCTTCTGTTATGGACAGACGGGGCTGTTTTTGAACATTTCTCGCGGAATTCATTAACTCAGTGGGGGTGAAAGATACCCTCTCATAATTGCTAAGTATTTCTAATTCTTGTCTAGATTATAAGGAAGAATAAGAAACCTTTATTCTTCCGCAAATATATCCATAGGATTAGATCCATGGGCACTAAGTCAGGCGGCCTCGATGGCCAACGGCTAGGATCTTGGTTGGCTATTCAATTATTCTTGAAATTGGCTGCAAAAATTTGCTGATAACTTCAGCGTTCAGTGGCGGTGCCTCGTCTTGCTGGAAAAATATGTTTTCGAGTTCCGTTAAGGGCATATCATCAATAAGGGGTCCAAAGCGTGCTAGTTAAAAGTGGCGAACTTTTAAAAATTCTGTATTTCGAAGGGGATTATAACAAAATATCAAGTGTCCTAGATTTTTGGAAAGGTAATTTTAAATTATTTTCAGTTAATTAAAAATATAGAGGGTGTCCCAAATAAAAAAACAATTTTTCTGTTGATAACTCTTAAATTATTCATTTTAAAAAAATTAAACTTAAACCATTAAATTCTACGTAAAAAGGTGCTTTGGAAATGTTTTCATAGAAATACAAAACTTTCCATAGTAAAAAAGTTACAGCCCGGTGTTGTTAGGTGCCCGGTGGCGTAGAGGTACAGGCTCTCGTCTACCAATCTCAAGGTGTGGGTTCGATTCCCACACCCAGCATTTCATCAG